ATTCTGTATGGCCCGGAAATGATATTACAAACTTTGGCAGAAAAAAACCTTCTCCACCCCCCCCTGTGCTAGAGGAACACTCCTGGTATGGCGCTGTAGGATCAGCACTGGACTGCAAACCACAAGGTCAGCCATGTAACTCTACCAGCTGCTGCTCCTTGAAAACTCTATACAGGATTGCTATGATTTGGAACAGATTTGATGGCACTAACAACAAAAAGAGGAACAATCAGAAAAAAGAACGAAAAAAAAAGATGAAGAAGAACGCCTACGATTTATGTGGAACACTATCAAGAGAAATAACATATGCGTGATAGGAATTCCAGAACAGAAACAGAGACCCATAGAGAACATTACTTAGATATGTTCAAAGAAAACTTCCCTACATCATGAAAGATAACCATTAAAGAAGCTGAAAGAGCTCCAAACAGAATAGACCCCAAAAGAAAAACATCAAGACATATGATCAAATTTTTCAATCCAAAGGCAATGAAAAAATCCTGAGAGCAGATAAGGAAAAATGAAGTTACCTGCAAAGCAAAAGTAGTAAGACCAGGCTCTTATTTCTCAGAAGAAACCATGCAGACAAGAAGACAATGGAATGATATATATAAAACTCTGAAAGGAAAAAACTGACAACCAAGAACCATATAGCCAGCAAAACTGTCCATTATGGATGATGAGATTAGGTCATTTTCAGACAAACAGAAATGAAAAGAACTTATAAAAATCAGACCACCCTTACAAGAAATATTAAAGGAGTTCTGTGAACAGAGAAAAAACAGCAGCAGACAACCACCTGAGGTTAACATACATGACATTATCACTTAGACTCAACCCAGGTATAGAAATATGCAAAGTAAAACAGACCTGTAAGACTGAAAAGAGAGAACAAGAGATACAGTTGTAACAATAACAACAACAGAAAGTAAAAGGAAGGAATAATATAGTTACAGAACTTCCAAACGAATAGGAAATCATTTCAAGAAAAATTTAAATAAAAATAAACCTAACTGTAACCCTGGAATCCTGTTGTGCCATTGTGGGTTAATGCACTGGACTGCAAAGTCACTTTGAACTATAAAGTTGGTGGTTCAAGCCCACCAGCTGCTCCTCGGAAATCCTACACAGAGATGCTATGGGTCAGAATAGACTCCATGGCAATTAACAACTGTAACCTTAAAAACTAGACTAAATCTTACTCCTAGTCCTACTCCAACTCTACCCCTAACACTAACCCTAATCCTAACCATAAACCTAACATTAAATAAAATTCTATACCTAGCCATAGTGCCAACCCTAAGCCTCGCTCCTTATTCCTACCCACCAGACGCCCCGCCAAAAAATGGACTCATCGAATAATTTTTTAATCATTTATCCTACTTAACCAAAAGTCTTCCTTCCACTACTAGGCCACTCCTTCCTAAAACATAGCTACCTCACAATCCACATGTTTAAAAACACTGCTCATACACAAAAAAAGGAGGGGTGAAGCTACAGATGTTGATACTAATTGGACAAAACCAATCACCCATGGGATTAGTTTCCTTGGTTTGGGGGCTTTGGGACTGTGTTTTTGTGAGACAATCCAGTTGTTGAGTGGCATAATATGTGTTCTAGTTGTATTGCTTCCATTTACTTAATCTCCTTAACCCCACCTTTCTAATTTTTGTTTTAAAATAGCTGTTGATCATTTGATTTTACACTGTTTTATTCTGTGGTGGGGTTTTTTTTTGTTGTTGTTGTTTTTTAAGCACTACCTTTCATGGTGACAATTTTATTCTAGAATTCATATGATCTACTTCCCAATATGGTGATTACTGCCTGAGGTTTTTTTGTTTTTTTTCTTTTCTCCCTGCTGTCCAGTTATACATCATCTACAATTACACTTGCGACAACCGTGATTAATCCTATTTTAACAATTCTCACAAATGAATCATAAAATCCTATCACCATGGCATGGAGAGACAAAGCAGCTGAGGAGTCTAGACTCCAGGAAAGAGAAAGGCTGAATGAGGAGGCAAGCTTGCAAAATGTGCCTTTGGTTGTTTAAACGACTGTATATTCCTGCATGTTGTTGTTGTTTTAAGTTTTTATTGTGAATTGAGTGACAGTTTACCTGGGAGAACATCAATTTTACATTAATTGTTTCACTGAAATGATTACAATTCCCTTTGTGCATCATCATTCAACAGTATTTTTTCAGATTTTTTTTTTTTGTGTGTGTGTGTGGGGGGGTGATGCACACCAAAACACTCAGGAATATATAATCATTTAAACAGCCAAAGGGCACATTCTACAAGCCTGCCTCCTGGCCACCAGCACTCAGTCTTTCTCTTTCCATGAGTCTAGAGTCCTCATCTCAGGTGTTGCTGCTTCTCTGGATAGGGTCCCACATTCTGCTCATGCTTTTCTCTCTTGATGGTCCTAGGATCCTTTGTTTCTGGAATGTAAGCTTACCTACTCCCCACTTCATATTACAAAACTTCTACCTTTACAATTTTGACAGTTTGCAATTAGTCATGATAACAATTACTCACTATTGAACCCTAAGAATCTTAACCCCATCTCCTTTCACCAGACCCATCTAGACAAGATGAAAACTATTCAGTGGGGACTCTACCTTCCCCCGCACACTCTTGAACTAAACTCCCTCTTGAAAACTTGCAAGCCAGTCACTTCATGCCTTTATAGCCCCCTATTTTAGGTAGCCAATGTCTAAGTTGCCCGTCCCTATTCCTGAATGTTGGTTTTGTACATCATAAGAGAAAAGGGAAGGAATAGAAGCAAATACTGTTGGCTGGTGGTGCACGAGGGGGATTGTAATCATTGCAATGAAGCAAAGTGTGACTGGTTGAGTGCAAAACCTACTTGCTGTAATGTAAGCTATCACTTAATTCATAATAAAGGCATTCAAAAAATTTTTTATCACCATCATCCTCTACCTCCTTTCACCAGCTCTACCTGGAAAAGAGGGAAACTATTCAGTGGGGAGTCTACCTTACCCACCTCATTCTGAAACTAAGCACACTCATGAAAACTTGTAAGCTACTCACTTTGTGCTTTATTGACCCCATTTTTGATAGGCAATGTCTAAGTTGCTTGTTTCTATCAATCCAGTGCACTAAGGAAACCAGCTTGATCCTTGATATGAAGAATCCTTCCACTTTGGTTGGAATGTTGAGCAATTGCATCTATCAGCACAGGTCCAGTTCATCAAATTGTAGCAATTTACACTTGCTCTCAATATTGAGCTTTTATCTTTATCTGGTCAAGTTCTGGTCAGGCTAGGTCAATGGATACTATCTGCAAGTTTGGGAGTTCTTGCACACCTCTTCCCACTTCAGATCAGCTAGCCACTTCACTCTCAGCTCCAGGTCCCAGTGGCTAGGTCAGTGTTCATGGGCTCGGGAGTTCACATATCTCCCTAAACTTCTAGTGTCTGAGGTTTTAAAAGTTTATAAGAAGTCATCTAAGATACAACTATTGGTCTTTATTCATCTGGAACAAAAAAGAAAGAAAGAAACCCAAGAATCAGAGAAGGAACTGGACTACACATCTAAATGTCCACAAGAGCCTCAACCTTCACCATTTGAAGACAAGAACTAGGCATTGCCTGCTAATATTACTGAATATTCTGATCAGAAATACAATAGATGGATCTTGATAAAAAGGAAGAAAGATGTGGAACAGAACTTCATACTCTTAAAGAATCCACATTTACTGGACCAAATGAGTCTGGAGGAATCATTTGCGACTATGGCCCTGAGTGACTCTTCAAACCTTGAACTGAAACTACCTCCTAAATAACAGCTTAGCCTAGAGTAAAATCTGTAACCACGAAAGGCTGTGTTAAAACAACAAAAAACTATGTAAGACCAAAGGGTCAACAGCTATTTTAAAACAGAGATAAGAAAGGGGCAGGGAGATTAAGTAAACAGAAGCTAAACTACTAGAACAAAAATAAGAATGTGGACCCAATGTGAAGAATGTAACCAAGTCACTGATCATTTTGTCTACAAACTGTGGAATGGGAGCAACTTCTGCTTTGTGTATTTTCACCAAATACTGCTCACTGAACTTCCACTGAGACACTCCCATAACGTCAGCCATTTAACTTTCTGCCTAACTTCTCAGTTTGCTGATCAACAAAATGATTGATACGGTTTCATATCCCTAGCAGCTGTTACATTACCCACTCCTCTTCTAGGAAAAGCTAAAGTCTCTCTAACAGCCCAGTTCAAGCAGGAACAGAAAACTCGATTCGCTTGTTACAATGCAGCCAGAAGTGTGAGAGCTGTGTGCCTCACTCAGGAGACTAATGGAAATCAAGCCAAATCAAGCCCACTGCCTTCAAGTCAATTCAGATGTATAGTGAGCCCATGGAACAAAGTGTAACTGCTTCTTCGTAGGGTTTCAGAGGCTATAACCTTCATGGTTGTTGTTGTTATGTGCCGTTGAGTCGGTTCCGACTCATAGCGACCCTGCACAGGGTTTCCGAGGCTGTAAATCTTTACGGGAGCAGAAAGCCCCATCTTTCTCCCTCGGAACAGCTGGTAGTTTCGAACTGCTGACCTTGCAGCTCGCAGCCTAATTCGTAACCACTACACTACCAGAGCTCCTTTATAGTAGCAGACTGCCTATCTTTCTCCCACGAAGTGGCTGGTGGGTTCAAACCATCAACTTTTCGGCAAGCAGCCTAATGCTTAACTACTGTGTCACCAGTGCTCCTTCTAATGGCAAAATCAGAAAAGGAAAAGGCTGACAATTTTTAAAATGAGGAATGGTACACTCTGAGTGTAAACAAGATGAGGCTTTCTGCTCCCATAAAGATTTACAGCCTTGGAAACCCTGTACAGGGTCACTATGAGTTGGCACTGACCCCATGGCACATAACAACAACAACAACTGAAGATTATACAACACCCAGGGTCAAAGTTTTTCTGCCCACAGCACTACCTTCCTGGGTGCTGCCACACCTAGATTTTGACAACACTTACCTATTCTGAGCAGCATAGATACTGGCCAGCTTTAAGGAGATTTCAATTATTGCATTGTCTTCCTGTTGGAAGAAAGAAAAATGAAGGAAAATTATGGCAAGCAAAATTTCCTCAAGGAACATTTCACATCAACTTCTAGACTAACTATGACCTCAAATCCACATAGTCTTTATTCATTTAATTAACCAACTTTTGTAACCAACTCAGTTCACCATGATTTTGCAATAATGAAAGAGTGGCAGTTTTATACAGGTCCGAGGAAAAAAATTCACTTTTCTTTTTGAGTCAGAGCATACATTTTGATTACAGTTTGTTTTGTATCTTGATTACAGGGAGGGTGTTTCAGGAATTCATATTTTGAAACCTGCTGCTATTAGGTATAAACCCCAGACAATATCCTTACCTGCTTCATGCCTCCTCCAAGCAGGTAACTCATTGTAGCTTTAAAAAGTTTTTCTGCCTAAAAGCATAAGAAAAAGATTTTTGTTTAAGCTGAACCCAACATCTTTATGACTCTGGATTCTAAGTACCAGTCAGACCCATCATTCCTTGTTAAAACATACACACACAATCACTCACACTCTTGAGATACAAAAATAGATGAATACACCAGGACCCCACATCCTCTGTGTACTTTATTCTGTGATAAGTAGAAACCACCTTAAGGGATTAACTTCTCACCAAAACCCACTGTGACAGAGAATGCAAACTGTCCCCAAATATTCACTCTCCTTTCTGTCCTTTTATTTACAAAATCCCCTCAGTTTTTAGCTGGTCAGCCTTCCTTACAGTAAGGTGTGTTGTTAAGTGCCGCAGAGTCAATTACGACTCACAATGACTCAGTAAAGGGCTTCTGAGGAGCAGTTGGTAGGTTTGAACTGCTGACCTTGTGTTTCGCAGGCCAGTGCTGATCCTACAGTGCCACACAAGAAGTGAAAAAATATTGGGCTATAGATGCAGAAAGAAGAAATGCAAACGATTTAAAAATCCTATTTTAAAAGAAAGTGGCTTGTCCTCCATTCTCTTTCTCCTTTCCTATAGGCAACTGACTCACCCATGCAGATGAGAACACACCTTAGAGAAAGAATTTGGGCTTCTAGGCCACTTCATGGAACAGAGGTGCCTACCTGAATTCAGTCTTCAGTCCACCTCTAAACTGATGAATCAAAGAGATATATACCACTGTCTTCTTTAATTTATGGTATTTTGGGGTCTCCTTTATAGGTTAGCCTGTACTCTTACTAATATAGTTCTCTTAAGGCTTGATCTTAAGTGCTGTCTAGTCGGTTCCGACTCATAGCGAATCTATGTAAGATTTCCAAGGAGCAGCAGATGGGTTTGAACTGCCGACCTTGCGGTTCATAGTCCAGGGCTGATCCTGCCAGGATTCCTCCCTTAAGGCTAGGCTTTCAAGAATTCAAGATATCACAAAGTAACTTAACTTACATTTTCAAGTTCACCACGTATAAATGCTAAATTGGCCATCTGAAAAGCAAATTAGAAATTATTATTCAGATTACAGTACTATGTCCCTACACATTTCAAAGCCTTTGTGCTAAGGATTCTCTTTTGCTTTCATCCTGTAAAAGCAAAAATGGTTAAGACATAAAAGCATGTCAGAAATTAATCTGCTAGAATAGCAATAGTGAGACATGTAAATACTTGGATATACTTTGTGATAAACTAAATCTAGATGCACTTATTATTGAAGAAACAAATGTTAATGATACATGGGGATTTCAAAAAGTTCGTGGGAAAATGGAATTTAGATTAAAAAACATATATGTAAACTTCATTACTTAACACATACTCCGTCAAGGTCAAGACAATTTTCTAAGTTGTGCTACAAGCCATTTAGTCCCTCCATAAAGAAATGAGAATCTTGGGAATTAAAGATGTAAATGCATCCTTCTGTACATTATTTTTCTAAATTTGTTATTGTGAATTGAGTGTAAAACAATATCATTGTTTCACATTCAAGAAATCAGTTTCATCTCAAAGAATGCAATTCCCTCCATGCAACAAGTTGTCCTGCTTCCTCCCTGTGGTTACCCATGTGCAAATATCCTCTTTCAAACTCTTATATATTTATGGGATAAATATTTATATATCCCACTCTTGCTCCCATACTCATTCAGCCTGCATCTTTCTCCACAGAGAACACTATTTACCTCATTCCACTTCTGCCCTTGCATACCTATCTTCATCATTCTGCCAACCTCTCTCTTCTTGTATATTGCCTTCACCCTCACCCGAGTTAACATGTGTTTACCCTCTAGCCTGTGAATTATTCCCTTTCTTCCCACCTTTGGTAACCATCAAAGAATGTTTCTTTTAGTATGAAAACCTTTTCTTGAATTTTTACAGTAGTAGTCTCATACAATATGTCCTTTTGTGACTGACTTATTTCACTCAGCATAATGTCCTCCAGGTTCATCCATGTTATGAGGTGTTTCACAGATTCATCATTATTCTTCAGTGCTGCATAGTATTTCGTTGTATGTACCAAAATTTGTTTATCCACTCTGCCACTGATGGGCAGTTAGGCTGTTTCCATCTTTTTGCATTGTGAATAGTGCTGTGATGAACAGCTACGTGCCTTTTGTATATTATTAACTGAAGAAAAATGGGTGCCCTTTAAAGATTTTAAAAGATAAGTTAACAAAAAGAAGTCAGGACTATAGGGTGGATATCTAATGATTTTCCATGGAAACTCTTGCAAAATTGTCGTTGTTTGAGGGGAGGAATAAAGAACATTGTCATGGTAAAGGACTCTCTGGTGGAGCTTTCCTAGGTGTTTTTCTGCTAAAGCTCTGACTTTCCCAAAACACTCTTATATTAAATTTGTTGTTGTTAAGCACCGTGGAGTCGGTTTTGACTCATAGCAACACTGTATAGGGTTTCTGAGGCTTTTAAATCTTTTTCAGGAGCAGAAATCTTTGTCTTTCTCCTGAGGAGCAGCTGGTAGGCTTAAATCATCAAATCTGTAATTCACAGTCCAGTGCTTATCCTATAGAGCCACCACACTCCCCATTCTTTGGCCTTCCAGAAAGTCAACAAGGGAAAGGCCTTGAGCATCCAAAGTGCAACTGCTATGATCTTCGTTCTTGACTGATCTGCTTTTGCTTCAGCTGGGATGACTTCTACCTCTTGGTAGCCATTGCTTTGATAGTGCTTTGTCTTCTGGATTCTAATGGTAAAGTTATGTTTTATATCCTGTTACAATTCTTGCAAGAAATGTTTTAGGAACTTGATCCTAGTTGTTAATTAGCTCTACTCTTGTCTGCAGCTGAGCTGGGCACCCATTTAACTGAAAGTCTGCTCAACTTTTAATCTTTCAGTCAAAATTGTGGAAGCTAAATCAATTGATAAATCTACTGAGATGACTATGGTGTTAGCTATTGTTTCTGCTGTTAATTATTGGTCCTCTGCAATTAGAGCACAAACAAGATTAGCTGCTTCCTTTCACATTGATGTGGATGGTCTGCCACTGCTTCCTTCATTTTCAACATCATCTTGTCCCGTATTAAAAACAAGTTATCCATTTGTAAACTGCTGCTTTCTTTGGGAGTATTGTTCCCATAAACTTTTCCTAAAGCATCAATGCTTTCACCATTCTTCTACCCCAAGGTTCACCATAAATTTGACATTACTTTTGCTTCAGTTTTTGCAGAATTCATGTTGCTGATATTTTTTTAAACTGATATCTGATCCTTCTTATTGCCTCAAACTAGAACCTGTTCAGACATGCTATCACAAGTTAGTACAAGTCTACTGTGGTGTGACTTTTTTTTTTTTTTTTAAATAAACACATAGTTTTTTTCATAATATGCATTTCCTATGAACTTTTTGAAGACCCCCTCGTATTTGTTTCTTTTTAGTCTCAGGTTGAGACTTGAAAGTGACACCCACAGATAATAAAACTTAAAATCAAATTAAGTTTTAGTTACAAAATTATCTTGAGGACATCCTGAAAGTCCCTCTATTATATCCAATCCACCCTTCCTCATCAGTGGCTCAGACTGGTTAGAAGAGTTACCAAATCATAAGTGTAGGTGATGGCCTTGTTGTTACCGCTCTGATAGGCAAGACGAAGAGCGTCATGCAAAATTAGCTCAGCTTCTTCTGGCTCATCTTTCATGATGCTCAACTGAAAAGAGAGGACAAAGAAAACAACAGAACATGAAATACAGAGAAAGTGGATGTACATGATACTAGACAGAAATTTTATGGTTGTATTATCCCAATAAATATAAAGGAAGCTATTCATTCATCAATCAAATATTTACTGAATTGATCTATGTCTACAAGAGTGACAGGAAGATGACACAAAAGTTTTGTTCAACAGATGGATGTGGAAGGAATGTGAACAATTTCCAAATTCTATTTATAAGCAAATTTACTTGCCCTCCATCTCCTCATTCTCACTTCCTGTAAGCTGGAGGTGAGCCTGCAGGATTGTTGTTGTTGTTGTTAAGTGCCGTCGAGTCGGTTCTGACCCATAGCGACCCTGTACAGGGTTTCTGAGGGTGTAAATCCTTACGGGAGTAGAAAGCCTCATCTTTCTCCCGCGGACCGGCTGGTAGTTTCGAACCACTGACCTTAAGGTTCGCAGCCCGATTCGTAACCACTACGCTACCAGAGCTCCTTAGAGCCTGCAGGATAAGTAAGCATAATTATAACTAATGAAAAAACAACAAAAAAGTGTGATAAGGAGTTTATTCTATGTAGGAAAGTAAGGGAAGACGTCCAAGGAAGTAAGTGCAGCTAAACTGAAGTACAAAGGTTAAGAATGAGTTCTTACCAATTCAACCAAATAAGGAATTAGGACCCTACCAAAGGGGTAGGGAATGAGTGAAGACCCTACAGGCGGAGGAGATTAGTTTTGCAGGAAGAAGAAGACAGGAGGTGATATGGAAAGAGGATGGGTAGGTGGGGGAGGTAGGCTCATTTAGATCGTGCAGGTCTGATAGGTCAGGACAAGAAGTTTGAGTTTTACCATAAATGCAGTGGGAAGTCATTGAAAGTTTTTATGCAAAGGTTGATATGATCTGATTTACATTTTTTCTTAAAAACCACTCTTCTATGGAGAAGCAAGTGTAGGAGTCAAGCAGACAAGGACTGTTGATGTGGCAGTGATGGTTCACATTAGGGGTAGCAGAGAAAAGGTATACTATATTTTGGAGGTGGTGGCAAGATGTTGCTGGGCTGTAAGTGGTGGGTGGTGGAAAGGCACCACAGGTTTCATGGGGTTTCTCTAGTTGAGAAACAGGGTAGTGTTGCTGTTAAGTGCCATCAAGTCAGTTGCAACTCATAATGACACTGTATGGGGTTTCCGAGGAGCAGCTGGTGGGTTTGAACTGCCGAATTTGTGGTTGGCCATCTACAGCTGATCCTACATTGCCACACCAGAAACAGGAAAGTTGTCGAGTAGGGTTTCCAGAGAACAGCTGATCAGTTTGAACCACTGACCTTGAGGTCCAAACCGACTAGTCCAGTGTTTTATATAACAGTGCCACGCCAGGACTCCAGAAACAGGATTGTTGTTTTTGTTAAGTGCCACTGAGTCGATTCTGACCCATAGCGACCCTGTATAGAGTTTCCAAGGCGCAACTGGTGAGCTTGAACCGCTGATCTTGTGATTCAAACGACTTTGCAGTCTGGCACATTAACCCACAGCGCCACACCAGGACTCCAGAAACAGGGCTGTTGTTGTTGTTATGTGCCGTGGAGTCAGTTCCGAGGTTACGGGAGAAGAAAACCTCATCTTTCTCCCGCGGAAGAGCTGGTAGTTTCGAACTGCTGGCCTTGCCTCTCACAGCCCAGTTCGTAACCACTACGATACCAGAGCTCCTTAGAAACAGGGTAGACAGTAGTAAAGGGTACATGGTGAAGAAATGGGATTGAGAGGCATGTACGATCAAGAGTTTAGTTTTAGGCAGGTTAAGTCTGACAGATACCTCAGCCTCAATGCGGGCTGAGATGCCATTTAAGTAGCACACTGCGATCTGGAAATAAAAATCCACACGTTTTGGGCCCAACGGAAGAAATGATAACCTGGCAAGGAGGGAAGAAAATAGAAAAGGACGTGGAGAAAAGGAAAAGTTTAGAAAGAGAACCAAAAGACACAAACAACAACACTAAATCGTGTTTTCAGAACTAAGTTGTGCAGAATTCTTTATGCCAGTTCTTTCAGTGTGGTTCGTTCTGGTGTGACGTTGTAGGATAAGCACTGGATAACCGCAAGGAGTCAGAACCAACTCGAACACAATTAACTAATAAAAACCACCACCACCACCAAACAGCGCCGATATTGTGGCTAGATGAGTTATGATGATAATGCACCTGAGACTGCAGCGCTTATGCAGGCGTTCGAGAATGACTTAGCTGGATGGACGCCAACTCCTCTCTCCCCTATTGGGACCCAGCTAATTCTGAACAAAGTTCACTCTCAGAGTCTCCAGCTACTTGTGAGAAATTGGAGGGAATCTTGCGCATCCACAAGGTTGAGCTCGGAGAGGCGACCACGCCGGGCCTGGAAGCCGTCTCACCTTGGCTCGTTTCAGCAGCTGGATGATCTCGGCCTCGGCCGCGTCCCCAGCGGAGGCCTCGCCCGCTCCCTCCGGCACCTCCTCGTCTGCCGTAGCGGGCCTCGAGAACCAGGCGAGCGCTGCAGAAAGGGGCTGAGGTCACCGTGCCCAGCCCGTGCCCGGCCCCCGCCCAGCCGCCCCAGGCTCCGCCCGGCCCGCGCTCCTCACCTGCCACCAGCGGCAGCAGGCCCGGGCTCCGGCCGTGCTGCACAACTCGTGAAGAGGGCACAGCCATCTCGGGCTTCGGGCCGCCAGCCGGCGCCAGGAACGGGAGCGCCGAGTAGTGCCGGCCCCACAGCCCCACAGCCCGTATAAGGCCCCCGCCTAGGCCTCGGCTCAGAAGCCGGTACATGCTCCCTCACTGTCTTCTGCGCACTGGAAGCCCAGCTGGCTTCCCGGGACGTCCCGCCCCTAGCGCCGAGCGCTCCTCCGAGTCTTCGTGGCCACCCGCGAGCGCGATGACGCACGACGACGTCACTCCTCTGAGCCCCGCCCCCGGCTCGAGTAGAGACTCCTCAGGCAGACGGCAGTCTGGGTCACAGTGCATTTCCGAAGAAGACCCAAGCTGGGGCGCCATGGCCGTCACGTTACCCGCCGTGGTGGAGGAGCTCCTGAGTGAGATGGCCACGGCGGTGCGAGAGAGTGCGCGAAGTACGGCCAAGGGCCTGCGTAGCTGCGTGGTGGGCCGCGCGGGTGGGAACCTGCGGGCTTGGGAGTTGAGAGACTGGCGAGCGCGGGAAGCGGGGCTCATCTCTCCTCACCTATTCTTAGCTTATTTCCGTGTGGTTCTCTCTCTCAAACTCCTGCTGGTCTTTATGGAGGGGGGGGGGGAGGAGAGAAGGCGAAATTTGGGGCAAGTAAAAGTCAAACCTATCGAGCGAGTGTTTAGGGAACAACACAGTTGCCAGGGCGCCTCTCTCAGGGGTGAGCAGGCCATAGGGAAACTCCGACTGGAAGTGCTGAGAGCTGCCGGCGAGGCAGGCACTTCAGATGCGAGCAGGAGAGTGGGAAGGACGGGACTCTGCAGTGAGCTATGGAGTCGGTTCTGATTCTGATCCTGTATTGGGTTTCCCAGGAGCGGCTGTTGGGGTTTGCACCGCCAACCTTGTGGTTAGCATTCCAGTGCTGATCCTGCAGTGCTGTAGTGTGTTTGTTAAGTGTCATCGAGTCAGTTCCGACTCACAGCGACCCTTTAAAGGGTTTCCAAGGAATGGCTGGTGAGTTTGAACCGCCGACCTTGTGGTTCAGAATGACCTTATGGGTTAGGTGCTTTTTCCCACAGCGCCAACTTGCTGCTTAGTTTTCTCCAGCAAATACTGCTAGCTTTAAAAGTTACAACTCTCATACACTTGATTCAGAAAATGTTTAGTACCACACATCTCAAGTGAATGGTGGTGGTTGTGTGCCACCGAGTCGGTTCCAACTCATAGCGACCCTGTATAGTTTCTGAAGCTGTAAATCTTTATGAAAGCAGAAAGCTTCATCTTTCTCCCATGGAGCAACTGGTAGGTTCAAACTGCTGACCTTGAAGTTAGCAGTCCAGCTCGAAATCCACTACACTACCAGGGCGCCTTCCAAAATGAATTGTTGTGAAGTGCCATCGAATCGGTGCTGACCCATATAAGGACCCTGTATAGGGTTCCCGAGGAGCAGCTGGTGAGCTTGAACCGCCGACCTTGCAATTCAAACGGCTTTGCAGTCTACACAGCACTAAAAATTGGTGGCATAGTGGGTTAGATGTTGGACTGCTAACCACAGGATCACAATTCAGTTACACCACATGCTCTTTGGAAGAAAAGCTTTTGCTCCGTAAAGATTTACAGTTTGAGAAACCTCACATGGGGTGGCTATGGCAGTGGGTGAGGAGTGTAATCCAGAGGCTGTAGACTAAATTGGGATATTGTGAAAGTACCTCTTTTTTCCTACCAATAGAGGATGCTCTGTGTCTATGCTTATCAGACTCACTGAGAAAAGACGAATAAAAAACAAAACTTTTCAAACGCTTCCACTGATTATAACCAGTCTCCTAAAGTAACATGGTCATTTTATAAATATTCGTACAGTGGAGTCAGACCTCACAATTTATTCACTTGGATGATTTTTTATTTCAAAGTACTGTACTGCACTTTGAAAGAGCTTGAGTTACTTAACTGTTTTTAAAAGATTGAGAAAAGCCAGCCAGCTTTTGTTTTTCTCCGTTCATTCAGCACTATTAGACCAGCCATGTTCCGATTACATATACCATCAGGTCAGATAGTGTTTCAGGGGCTCTAAGATTTGATGGGCATCTTGATATGGCATGGTAGGATAAATAATGGACTGTTAACTGAAAGATCAGTGATTCAAACCTACCAGCTGCTCCTATGGAATCCTCAGAAACCTTGTACAGCATCACTGTGAATCAGAACTGATTCCGTACATTTAACCACAGATTTGATGACCTTGAGAATGGATTATTATCAGTTACACCAAAACTGGGCTCTATGTTTTAATGCATAATTTCATATACTGTGACTGTCTTGTTTTTCTCCTATACACAGTAGTTTCCCTGATACTCATTGCTCATCAGATACCTGATACTCCTATGACTATGTAGGATGAGCAAGGTTGAAGCCGCAAGACCAGTTTGAACTGTAAGGTTGGTGGTTCAGACTCACAAGTTGCTCCTCAGAAACCCTATACATAGTCACTATGAGTTGGAACCAGCTCCATGACACTTAACAACAACAGCAACAACCATTGATTCACATTTGTTTCCCACACAGTAGTAATGTTTTAATATTAAGATTGCAAGTTAGACTTGTATTATGACAGTGTAAAAACCAGTCCTGAGCCTTATACTAGTTCTTGTTGGTGTGGATTCCAACTCATACTGACCATGTGGCACCACAGAGCATAGGCTTTTCAACACAGATTTTTTGGGAAACAGATCACTAGGCCTTCCTTCCAAGGCACCTCTGGTTGTAGTAAAACCTTCAACTTTCTGTTAGCTACTGAGTATGTTAACTATTTGCGCCACTTTGGTGCAATGTATTCCATTTTGTCTTGGTTATTTGGAAAAAAACCAGCTAAGGTGATTTTCCTCCTGAGCCCTATAAAGTTGTTTGGAGAACTACCCTTGCTCTAGTTCTTAGAGAAGCAGCTTTAGAGGCACAGGAGCTCCCAGGTTGTTTTCTACAAAAATCCTCACAAATGGACAAATAAATAAAATCACATTAGATGGAAAACAGATTGAAATTGTAAAAGACTCCATTTTGCTTGGATCCACAACACTCATAGAAGCAATAGTCAGGAAATCAAAGGATATAATGTAGTGAGCAAGACTGCCTGCCGCAAAAGACCTCTTTAAAATGTTAAAGAGCAAAGATTTCACTTTGAGGTCTAAAGTACGTCTGCCTGATCCAAGCCATGGTATTTTCAGTCACCTCATACGCACGTGCAAGTTGGACAGTGAATGAGGAAGACTGTAGAAGAATCTATACATTTGAATTATGGTGTTGGTGAATATTGAAAATACAAGGTCAGCAGTTCAAAACTACCAGCAGTTCTGCGGGAGAAAGATGAGGCATTCTGCTCCCGTAAAGATTTACAGCCTCGGAAACCCTGTACAGGGTCGCAATGAGTCGGAACCGACTCCACGGCACATAACAACAACAACAACAACATGGACTATCAGAAGAACAAACAAATCTTTTTAGATTTGCTCCTTAGAAGCGAGGATGGTGAGACTTTGTCTCTTTCACTTTGGACACAAATCAGGAGGGACCACTCCCTAAAAAAGGACATCATGCATGCTTAAATTGAGGGTCAGCAGAAAAAGAAGAAGATCCCCAAAGAAATGAACTGACTCAGTGGCAGCTACAGTGGGCTCAAGTGGAAGAATTGTGAGGATGGAGCAGGACCAGGCAAGTGTTCGTTCTGTTGTGCAGAGGGCTGCTATGAGTTGGAACCAACATAACAATAATGAATATGGTCTGTGAGTTTTGTATAGCCATTGCAACAAATTATTGAACCCTGCAGAGAAGTTGAATGCTACAAGGGAGCAGCTGATACCAGCCATCCTGGCTCCTAATTTATTATTTTTTAAAGAATGTTTTATTGTGTTTTTAGTGAAAGTTTACATAGTAAACTAGGTTCTTCTGCTTTTTACCTTTAAATTTTCATCTTATTTTCTCTACTTCTAGGACAATTACTACTTTATCATCCAAAGTTTTCTATGGAATTTTCCAGTCTATTATGTTTTTAATTTACAGCTCCTTTTTCTAAAGATTCTTTTTTTATTGTGTCTCATGCCTGGTTCGTAGTTGCATTGACATCTTTTTCCCTGATGTTTAATGAGTTTTTTAATTGTCTTCTTTCTGCTGTTTTACATCTGATTAGCTTCCTTTGGTTTGTTTTCTTTCCTATGTCCTTTTCTTTCATGTCTGGTGATCCTTGGTTGTCTGGTCATGATTTAGGGTGAAAGCACTGAGTGGATTGATGGAGTTTATAGACTGGTTTCCTGGTGTGATTCTATAGGATAAGCACTGGACTGCAAACTGAAGGGTTGGCAGTTCAAACCCACCAGCCATTCCTTGAAAACCCTATACAGAATTGACTTGATGGCACTTTAACAACAACAACAAAGACCATGAAATAAGCCTTCGTGGCACAGTGGTTAAAGCATTTGCCTGTTAACCAAAAGGTTGGCAGTTCAAATCCTGTCTCCAGGTGGGTGTGGTAGAGACTGGAAGTGTGAACACAGTTCTCTGGTCACCGACTGTGTAGTATATAGTTCAGGATGGGTTCACACATTGCCAGGAGCAGGGGTGGCACGTCCTGTTCCCTACCCCAGGGAGAGCTGAGGCTGTGCAGGAAGGGGTGCCCCTGGCTACCAGGTGCGTGTGGGAATAAGGGAGAGCTGCACTCCACTTACCGCCAACCTCCAGCGGCATCCTGTGCCCTCAAGCCACTGTATGGGCAGCCATCTGCAAAAGTTCAAGATGGCCTCACCGCTACACGCCAGCTGACAGCTTGCCTGTTTTTCTTCTTTCTCACTGCTCCTGTTTAGCTTCCTCTTCCAGTCAGCATACAATTCACCTCTCTGTACTATCCTCTGATGGTCAAGATTCCAGAATCACCATCTGTCTCTGTTTCACTTGGTCTCCTATGTCTTTGTTGGAAAAGGCTGGCAGAGTGCATCTGCCTACTCCACTATCTTGCCCTGAAACTCCTGCTCCATAAGGATTTATAGCTTTAGAAACCCTGTGGAGCAGTTCTACTCTGTGCTGTAGGGTCTCTATGAGTCAGAATGGATTCCATGGCAATAGGTATAAACTGTGAACTTCACTGTAATTGATATTATTAGACTATTTGATTGGGAAACCCATTCTAATATCATAGACTCATATCTAGAGGACCAAAGCCTGATTGTCTATGTTATGGGAGGCATGTTGAGAAGGAAGGCAAGAGATCGCCTAGTTTTCATTGAGATGCTCTTGACCTCAACTGTTCCTAGTATTTCCCCCGCATCTAGATAGTTTGTACTTTAATCTCTAGAAAATAAACCCAGTATTTCATCAGAGAGAGAAAAATCCGTCACCTAGAGCTAGGAAGGGAACTGGGGTCCTACTGCTTCTTAAACTTACTTTCAAAGAGTTTTCCATATATAAGCTTCATGCTTCACCACCAATTACAAAGCTATTTGGTGCCACTGATTTGAAGGGTTCTTTCTTTGTTTCTGATCTAGAAAGGTGGGTAGGTTATTCTGGAATATAATTCCATTTTCTCAGATCTGGTATTTTTCCACTCTTCAGCTTCCAGTGTGTTTTAACTGTTGCTTCCTCTCCTTTTCTCATCCTTGGTAATTTATGTCTGAAAAAACTAGTAATAAATCCTTGTTATTTTTTCAGTGGCATTCTGAGAAAGAGGTAAATTAGATGTATAGGTTTAAATCACTATCTTATACAGAAGTCTTTTGGTTACAGTCTTCTTAAGATTGTTCTGCTCATTGGTTTAACATGATTAACTTTTTTGCATTTCTGTTTTGCAGTTCCTGATGAGCACCTGTTATCGTAAGTTACATTTTGTTGTATTTGGGTATTTTTTTTTAACCTCAGTGTTTCAAGAGCCAAATCCTTTCAGCACCAACTCTTAATTTTTATAAATATTTTTACAAAGCTAGGAACAGTATTTTCTTGACATGATTATTAAAACTTTGTCTCAGGTGAAAAGTTACAATCATTCCCATATTGTCCAATTTGCCATTCTTGTTTACTATTGTTCTAGAAATTGCAGTGGATACACTAACTAATAATAGGCACAAGACACAGTGAAAGAAAGAATCTTTAGAAAAAGGAACTGTAAATTAAAAACATAATAGACTGGGAAATTCAATAGAAAACTTGAAAGATAAAGTTGTAGAAATTTTCCTAGGAAGTAGAGAAAATAAAAATACGAAAAAGAAGTTAGAAGTTTACCTTTTTACAAGGAAGGAAAAGCAATTACCATTTCTGGCAGATGATATGACTACTTATCAAAACCCAAGAAAATATAGTAAAATAAAGTTTTAAAAATGCAAAAATCATTTTCCTTGATACCATAGTTCAAAAATATAATTACATCCTCAGTAGCAACAAAAACGTGGATTGTTTTTAAGTGCCATCAAGTTGGTTCCCAAATTTAATTGTGATGTTGTTAAGTGTTGTTGAGTCAGTTCCAACCCACAGCGACCCTGGTTAGGATTTCCAAGGAGCAGCTGGTGACTTGAACTGCCAACCTTGTGATTCAAAATGACTTTGCATCCAGCACATTAACCCACAGGGCCATACCAGGTCTCTGTTTATATATATAAATATATGGAGCTCTGATAGCGTAGTGGTTACGAATCGGGCTGCGAACCTTAAGGTCAGCGGTTCGAAACTACCAGCCGCCCCGCGGGAGAAAGATGAGGCTTTCTACTCC